ATGGCTCATGTTTGCAGTGAAATAACTTTCTGATAAACTTCCCGCTTACAGAAGCTTGAGATTCTTGACTGTTTTTTTTGCATTTTGAACTGTTCACTTTTTAGTCCAAGTGGATGGTGATTCTGCTATTATTAGTGTCTTAAAAGTGCTGTGGCTTTTCTGTGAATTTTATTTTGATTTATTCCATTAGATAAAAGTCACACAAGTGTCTTTGAAACAGGCTCTTTTCTCCCTGGGCTACTTATAAGTCTGCCATGATACAACACCTTCAAGATTCTTAAACTCTAACTTTAACCAAGATGATCTGTAAGGTACTGCCTTAAATCTTTTTAAGGTTATAGTAAAAGTCTTTTATAGCCACGCATGCAACTACCCAAGGACCATGTCTTACTAGAAACATCTTGAATTTGATATTGGTTGTAAGGCCATTTTACTTTGAGAACCTTTTGTTGAGAGAGACTGGGGATGAGAGATAGTTTTGTTTATGAATCAAGTCATAGCTCTTTTATGTTTCCTTTAAATTCTGCTTAAAATTTGAAGTAGTCATTCTTTAGTTTATCTTTGTCCATCCATACCTGGTTATCAAAACTGAAAGAGACTGGTTGGCACTTTCAACATTCATCTTGGAAAATTCCTTATCCAAATCCACCTTTCGTATTTTCCATGTCACTGCAGGGGACAATTTTGACTGGAATTGTTGCCACTAGGCAACATGGGTCTTTCCTATACCTCCAACCTCAGCCTTCTCACAGCCCTTCCACGTTCCTGTAACAAGTCTCCCTGAGGCTCTTCAGAGGTCCACTGACTGCCTGTTCTGATATAAATAAATTTCTTTTCAGCTTATCTGTTGTTGTGTAACAAAACTATGCCCAAACACAGTGGCTTAAGACAGTTGTTTTTACATAATTTTGTGAGGAGTTTGGGAAGTCTTAGCTGGACATTGGCTGGACATTGCTGAGCCTGGAAAATGCACCTCCATGGTGACCTCTGCATGACAAGTCTGGAACTGCCATATACTTGACCTCAAGTTTCTTTCCATGCAGTGTCTCATCTTCTAGGACCTCTTTTTGATGCTTACGTACCTTGCAGTATTCTGGTCTCAGAGTACTCCCCCTTCTTTACATGATGGCTAGTCTATAAGAGGGAGCTTGGCAAGAAGAGTGGAAGCTCTTAGAGGCAGGAAGGGCATTCCAGGCCATTTTAAGGCTAATGCCCAGAACTGGCACCCCCCCCCTTTTTTTTCACACTTGAAGTATAAAATTTATTTCTTAATGATCTGAAGCAAATACAGGCTGTAGAACTGGCACCCTCTTACTCTTGCCATCCTAGTTACTAAAGCCCTTGGAGGGAGTCTCACCCAGAACCAAAAGAGTAGAGAAACACACTCTGCCTCTTGATAGAGTGGTGGCAAGATCACTTGCAGAGAAGCATGTGGGAGGGAAGTGCCTTTGTAAAACATCTTTGGAGGTGCAGTCTACAGCAGGGGTGCAATTTCACGTTTCCCATGTGTGCAACTCTTGGACCAGAACTCTTTATTGAACAGTCCATACATTCTCACTGATCTGTAATGTCTGGTCTGCCATAAACCAGGTTTCTAAATAAATGTGTATGTTTGTTTTAGATTATCTGTCTGGGCCCATGATTTTCCACTGGGGGCCATTTTGCTGGGGACAGTGTCTGGAAATATTTTTGGTTGTCACACTTGGGAGGGTGTGCTACTAGCATCTAGTGGGTGGAGGCCAGGGATGCTGCTAAACAACCTATGGTACACAGGATAGCTCTCCACCACAAGATTATCCAGCCCCAAATGTCAATAGTGCTGAGGCTGAGAATCCATAGTCTATGCCATCAGTATAGCTCTACCATATTATCTTAATTAGCCTTGATAGCTGGTAGGGTAAGTCTCCTCGCTTTGTTTTTCTTCTTTAAGAATGTCTTGATTGTTTTTGGCCTCTTGCATTTCCATGTAAACTTAGAATCAGTGTATCATATTTCATAAGAAACTTTATATTCTAATTAGAATTTCTCCATAAGTGTATATCTTCATGAGGAATATTTACATTGCCATTTTGCTGTTGAATATTGATATTGAATCTTATTTACCAATATGATACATCTATCAATTTACTTCATTAATGTTTTTCAATAAAGTTTTGTGATGTCCTTATTAAAGGGCTTACAAATCTTTTGTGCAAGATGGTTTGTTCGCATGGCCAGTTAGTTGTGAGTCTTTTAATAAGTTGCTTTCCTCTTTTGGGCCTTGATTTCCATAAGTAAAGAACGTGACAGTTGGATTAGATCATCTGTGACTGCCTTTGAAGCCTGAGAAGACATGATTAAAGTTTTAGAATTAAATGGAAAACTTTCAATACACACAATAAAAACAGTCCATGAGAGGGAGCTCTTCTGCATTTCATCTCTGGCCAGGTGGCTTGCAAAGACACCACATCTGTTATTGATCTTCCCAGGGCATCTTCTCAGGGCAAAGGCAGAAAGTGACTCCCTGGTATCTCTTCAATCACAGTTCTCCACTTAGGAACTGCTGCTGTGGGTTTTGGAAGCTATTACTTGTTTCAGGGTGTGGGAATACAAGAAACACATTTTGAACCCAGGAGGAAATTTATGGATCATCCAATTTAATCCCTTTGTTTGACAAATGAATAAACTTAGAGACACTGTTATTTTCCAGAGGACACAAAGACTGTTCCGGAGAGAACTAGGGCTGGAGCACAGGTCAAGTTTTCACACTTTAGTTGACAGAGTTGGGGAATAAGCAGTGGGTGTTAGTGGTGGGGTGGGAGTAGGGATGGTGTTTAAATTTTTTTTAATGTTTATTTTTGAGAGAGAGGATGTGTGAGAGAGAGAGTGGGGGGGGGAGGAGCAGAGAGAGAGAGAGGAGAGTATCCAAAGTGGGCTCTGCACTGACAGCAGAGAGCCTGATGTGGAGCTTGAACTCATGAATTGTGAGGTCATGACCTGACCTGAAGTCGGACGCCTAACCGACTGAGCCATCCAGGCACCCCGGGATGGTGTTTAATTTTTAAAGAACTGAGAAGTGGGTGATCTCCGAATTCCCTGGAGACAATTTGCTACACCACATGTGTGTTTGAATGTGAGAGTGTTTGTGTGTACCTGAGTGTGTGCCTACGTGCTGTATGTTGGCAGTAGGACTTGAGTTATGATTGTTGGCTTCTTAGAAATAAGCTGGCTTAAGTAAAAGCCAGCCTTTACTTAAGGAGTAGGGGCAACTGTGTGGCTCAAGCAGTTAAGTGTCCAACTTTGGCTCGGGTCATGATCTCACTGTTGGTGGGTTTAAGCCGTGCATCTGGCTTTGTGCTGACAGCTAAGAGCCTGGAGCCTGCTTCGGATTCTGTGTCCTTCTCTGTCTGCTTCTACCCTGCTCGCACTCTGTCTTTCTATCTCTCAAAAATAAATAAAACATTAAAAAAAAGAAGTAGAGTGACTTTTATGGGCTTTAGAGATTTAATTTATATTTTGGAATTGTTTGAAAATGCCTGTCTTTTAACTTGATTAAAAAATTTAAGCTTTCGGTTTATTTTTAATTTGATTTAATGATTTCATTTTTTTTCTCATTGACTTTTCAAATAAAGCAAAGTCATTGCATATTTTTTTCAGAGAAGATGAAACTTATCTTCATTAGCCATCACTTTTTTTTTTTAATGTTTATTTATTTTTTTTTTTGAGAGAGAGCGTACAAGTGGGGCATTGAGAGGGGGAGACACAGAATCCGAAGCAGGCTCCAGGCTCTGAGCTGTTAGCACAGAACCGGACTCAGGGCTCAAACCCAGGACTACAAGATTATGACCTGAGCCAAAGTTGGACGCTTAACAACTGAGTCACCCAGGTGCCTCTAGCCATCCCTTTCAAGTCTATTGTGACTATTTTTGAAATGTTGCTTCATAGTGCTTATTACTTGTGATTCTTCTGATTCACCTCAATACAAACTCTTTTGGTAAACTATAGGCATTTGAAAACTATTTCTGTCTTCATTTGCCTTAGGAATAAGATCTTTCTAGTTTATTTGGATTATTTTTCCTACAGGTATCATGGATAAGATTTTAAACCTTTATTTTGGCTTAAATAAATGAAAAGTAAACTACCTACTGACTTCCATGTCAACATGAAGAACTAGAGATCTTGTGTTACCTTTTCAATGTCCTGCAGCCTGTCTTTTTCTAACAAACTAACAACAGTTACTCTGAGGAAAATATGTATTTAGTTACCTTTCTATTGTTGTTTATCAGGTATGGCCTATACTGATTTAAGGAGAGTTAGCGTATTTAGGCTTCTCTGTGTTGGTCCAAGGAGTGATGTTGCCAATGACTTGGCGGTATGGGGACAGAGGAGGGGATCAAAAGGCAGAAGGACACTGGGCAGCTTTCACCTCCTCCAGGACTGAGGCTTCCATCTCACTGTGAAGTGTTGCATATTCAAGGGAAAGAGGATTGATTAATCTTCTTTTGAAATAGTTATAAAAATGAACATTAGGGTAAAAGATTCTTGTGCTGATACGCTCTTCCTCAGCAAGTAGCGCTGAACATTCATTGGTCCATATTTTCTTTTGCATACGTACCACCTAGACATTTCAGAGAGTTGTGAGGTACTAAGGATTTCCAGCTGGGTGAAAGAACTGGCTTGCTCCAGCAGTCCATTAAGAACATCTTTATTCGTGAAAATCATTTGATAAGAGAACAACTTTTATTTATTTATTTAATAATGTGTCACAGGTTTGATTCCTGTTTTCATAAATGTTTTCTAGTAGACATAATGAATGAATTTTGAAAAAAATCGTATGTTGGGCATAGTGAGCCATGTGTAATAATTTGAGCATTCATACTCTGATAGATAGTGAGAATTCCATTATCTGAAGTTTGGAATTATTACATAAATTATCAAGGACAGAAGAAATGGGGGCTATTGTTAAAATATCTGTGTCTCCCATTGACTGAAATAATAGAGATTTCCTTCTTGGTTTTTAGGTTTCCTCCTTCCTCACCCCTGAAACCATATCCAAAGAAGCCTACATACCAAAAAGATGCTATAAAATTTCCAGAATGGAATGACCCCCCACCAGGGACTTCACAAGAGAACATCCCAGTGAGGCCACTTGTGATGGTAAGTGTGTTACTAAAAGAGTGGGTGGGATGGTCGGGGCGGAGTGGGGCGATGGTGGTGGCGGTGGCTGGGGCGGGTCTAGCAGCTACCAGAAATAGGATATGATCTGTGAACCACCAGCCTTAGTCTTTTTTCTACTGGTCCCTTAGGAACAATGGTCTGAAAGTACTTTAAAATATCTTAGGTGTCAGTAGCTGAGAGAACAGTGACAAGGAAAGATTAGCTGTTGAACTCTTGCCTGTTGAGGCTTTGGCATATATATGGTACCTATTTTCATATGTTCAGAACAAGTAGGTTTATGTGACAACTCCCTTATAATCTCATTCTCTTGTGTTCTAGAATTTACTCTTTTGCCTCTTTTTCTCCTGGATTTTGTTCTATTACTAGTTGAGAGTGAGAAGGTTAGGATGTGAAGTATTGTAGAATGACCCCTGACACTATAGATGATCAAAGGTAGATTCTGTTAGTTTTGGAAAACCTAAGCTTATTGTTGAATAATCTAATTTTTTTGGTATCCTTTTTCATTAAAATATTCCCAGTAGAAAACTACCATGATTGAGACAATGCTAAAACATAAAATACAAAGAAAAACTTCTTTTTTTTTTTATTAATTTTTTTTTTTTCAACGTTTATTTATTTTTGGGACAGAGAGAGACAGAGCATGAACGGGGGAGGGGCAGAGAGAGAGAGGGAGACACAGAATCGGAAACAGGCTCCAGGCTCTGAGCCATCAGCCCAGAGCCTGACGCGGGGCTCGAACTCACGGACCGCGAGATCGTGACCTGGCTGAAGTCGGACGCTTAACCGACTGCGCCACCGAGGCGCCCCAAGAAAAACTTTTATATGGCAGTTTTTAAGAATTGTACTCACACCAGTGTTTTAAGTTAGTCTAGTCCAATAGGACTAGATGTCCAGTTCATACGTTTGTTTGCGAAGATGGGATGTAAACATTTTTAGGCAATGTAATTAAAAGAAAAAACACTTATTTTTTAAAGAGATTGTATTTTCAGTTTGAAGAGAATAGCTAAGAAGCTTAGGCTTTATCAAAGATAATTCTAGAAAGAGAGTAGCACCAGTAACAGAAATAAGGACTCCTTTAAGGACTTGCAGGTTTGTCAGTCAGGATGGTGATGAATTTGGTTTTAAATATGATTGGTGATAAACCTGGCTTATCTTAAATGGAAATGTCTCATAGGCAGATGGAGATAATGATCCTGGAGAACTTAAAGGCAAGATCATATTTGGAAGTCATTAATTAATTTATTTATTCAACAAAGATAATATTGAATCAGTGTCTACTGTGTGCCATGAATTGTGCTAGGCTCCACAGACACAGTAATATGTGATACAGTTTTTACTCTAAAAAGGCTCATAGTCTAGTGAAGCATACAGTACCAAAATAGATAATTAGAAAACAGAGTCAAGTGACTTAGGGTATTTGAGGACTTTTAATTAATTCCTAATAAGGAGTACTTAATTGAGGTCTAGTTGATAGTTTCTGTCCCAGAGAAAATTAGAATATAAGTTCCATGAGATCAGGTACATTTTTTTCTTTTAACATTTGCATTTAAACATCTGATATGACCCCATTGGCAGAGTGGCTATTCAACAGACATTTTTTTCATTATAAGGTCTTCAGTGCTGTTTATACAAAGGAGATAAAATCCCGTAATTTAATATGTATTTATGTCATCGATAATAACTACTTTCCTTTTCTATTCCACTTGGTTCTATGAAGTTGGAATATTCCTGGTATCACCTGCAGAAGACCAAATGCTCATTAGCATACTTTAATGCCCTAGTGACAATGACTTCTGTCTTTTCTTGTCATTTTCTAATTTTTCAGGAGCCCTGAAGTGGTAGACCAATGTTCTAGATTCATCAACCATTTTAGCCCAAAGCTTATCCTTTCCCAGGTCATCTGTACCTGTATTTGTTTTGATGCTTTTGTCTCGCCTTCTCTTTCTTATACATCCCCCTTAATTCAAATGGTAGAGGTTTGAGCTCCCTGCTCATTGTAATTCCAGCAAAGCTTAGGCTGCTACCTCTTGAGCATGGTTCACAGGAAGAATGGCAGAGCAGGATCTGTGTCCCCGCTTGGGCCTTGGTGTAGGTTTTAGAATGAGGAGGTTATTAGTCAATAAAGAAATGTCATCTTTCTTAAAAAGAACTTCAACTCATCATTTATTTCTATTTTACTTTCCCTGTTTCTATCTTTGCTTCCTCTTTGCTTGGTGGTTTTTTTGTTTTATCCTGTCTTTTCTCTTGCCTAGCCACTTACACAGTTAAAAAATAAAATAATAAAATGAAACCGTTGTGTTTGCTGAGGGGCAGAATAGTATGGAAAGTAAGATTGTGCACTCTGGAGCGAGTCGACCGGGTTTGGATCTTGGCTCCTCCATTTACTATTTATTTGGACTTGTTTCTCTGTTTTAGTCATTGTGTTTGTGTCTCAGTTTTCTTATTGGTGAAACTGAGATGATAATAGTACCCTCTGAGGTAGGCTTGTTGTGAGAATCAGGTGAGTTCATATCTATAAAGTGCTTAGAATGGTGTCTGGCCCACAGGTAGTCAGTAACTTAACTGCTATTGCTTTAATTCACTTATTCAATAGAATTGTTTTCAGGCAGAGATGAAAAAAAAAAATCACCCATGATATCATCCAGAGAGAAGTAATATTAACATTTTTCTTCTGTATCCTTTTTTCTGTGCACATTTTTACCTCCAAAAGGAGATCATGTTGAGTTTTTTGTGGCCTGTGTTCTTCACTTACAACAATGTTTTGCTTCTTTTTTCATGTTATTATTTAAAAAAAAAAAATTTTTTTTAATGTTTATTTATTTTTGAGACAGAGAGAGACAGAGCATGAATGGGAGAGGGTCAGTGAGAGAGGGAGACACAGAATCCAAAGCAGCCTCCAGGCTCCGAGCTGTCAGCACAGAGCCCGACGTGGGGCTCGAACTCACAAACCATGAGATCATGAGCTGAGTTGAAGTTGGACACTCAACCGACTGAGCCACCCAGACGCCCCATCATGTTATTATTTTTAAGTTTATTTATTTTGAGAGAGAGAGAGAACAAGTGTACAAGCAGGGAAGGGACAGAGAGAGAAGGAGAGAGAGAGAGAGAGAGAGAGAGACAGAGACAGAGAGAGACAGAGACAGAGAGAGAGAAAGAGAGAAAGAGAAGAGAAGAGAGAGAATCCCATGCAGATTTTATACTGTCAGAACAGAGCCCGATGAGGGGCTTGGACTCATGAATCGTGAGATCATGACCTGAGCCAAAATTATGAGTCGGATGTTTAACCAACTGAGTTACCCAGTCACCCCCTTTTTTCATGTTATTAAACATTTGACATCATATTTAGTATCTGTATCTTGTCTAATATAAAAGCACTATAGTTTATGTATCTAGTCCCTTACTGTTAGTATATACCATGTTTCTAGTTTTCTGGTAAACAGTGTAATGAGCAATGTCTTTACAGATAATTAGTTGAGTATGTCCATGGTATTTCGTTAAGATAACCTTTCGGAGGCGCCTGGGTGGCTCGGTCAGTTAAGCGTCTGACTTTGGCTCAGGTCATGATCTCATGGTTTGTGAGTTCGAGCCCTGCATCGGGCTGTGTGCTGACAGCTCAGAGCCTGGAGCCTGCTTCAGATTCTGTGTCTCCTTCTCTCTCTGACCCTCCCTCACTTGTGCTCTCTCTCTGTCTCTCAAAAATGAATAAATGTAAGAAAAAAATTTTTTTATAAAAGGTAACTTTTGGAAGTAGATTTTTTTGTGTGTGTGTTGCCTAGTGGCAATTTTTTTAAATATGAAATTTATTGTCAAATTGGTTTCCATACAACACCCAGTGCTCATCCCAACAGGTGCCCTCCTCAATATGTCTCAACCACCCTTCCCTCCCTCCCACCCCCCATCAACCCTCAGTTTGTTCTCAGTTGGAAGTAGATTTTCTAGGCAAATGCAACAATTTACATGCCTGCCTTCAAAAGTGAACACCTAATTTAATTTAGATACTTAAAAAAAATTCACAAATCCACATGGTCTTCGACTTTCTTCTGTAATTCAGTAATTCTCTATAAACAAAATCATAAAACAACTTTCTGGCTCCTTTCATCCAAATTTGTAAGATTTTTCTGTAATGATACTTTTGTAAAAAACTATTACAGAAAATCTTTATAAGTGATTTCTTACATGTTTTGTCTGTAAAACCTCAATGTTTCTCTTTGTGATTATAAAAGGAAGTTTTAAGAATTAAACGTTTAGTAGACTATGTGAGAAAGGAGATACTAAGAATGTTGAACTGGTAAAGCTGTGTGGCTTTGAGCAAATTATTTAACCTCTCTGAATTTTAGTTTTTCTTCCTACTGTCTCAGTTTTCCGGGGAGCTCTTGTTTTTTCTGCCTTCTGCAGTTGCCTAAGATCTGGGGGCTGCTCTTCAAATTGTACTTATTTGATTTTTGCTTATAAAAAATAGAGAGTTCTTGAAAGTAATAGACTTTAATTTTGTTTTAAACGATCACTCAGTTTGGGCAGCGTGTGAATATGGATAGGTATTCTTTTTTTTTTTTTTTTTTTTTTTTTTTTTGGGATAGGTATTCTTTGACTTAATTTTGAATTAATACAATTTTATTTCATGGCTACCTCGTTGATTAGTTGAAATTCCCACAGGAAAAAAAAATAGCTAGTCAATTAGTCAATGTCATGTTTATTACTATAGTTCTTTTGCAATTTACAAATACTCATTTATAATATGACCTGATCTTTAACAGTTATACTTCTCTGCAGTCAGTACAAAGAAAGTTAGTTTATATTTCTAGTTAGTATTTTAAATCAAATTACAAATAACCAAGTCAAAGAAATTTCTCATACTACTGCCTGTTGAAATATTTATTCTCTTTTTCTTTCTACTCTCCCCCAATTAGAACTCTGAGATGTGGTTCAAGCGTCACAGTATTGCTATTGGAGAGGTGCCGGCCTGCCGTCTTGTCTACCGCAGACAGCTGACGGAGGCCAATGTAGAAGAGATATGGAAGTCTATGACATTATCATAGTATGTGCATTTGATATTAATGAGAACTTTCAGTGTTTTTTTTTTTTTTTGTGGTTTGCTTCTCTACTACTCTCTGATATTTAATTTTCTGAAATTATATATTAAAAGCTTAACTTTGCATTATTTGCAGCTATGCTGCTTAGCAAACATAATTTAACTGAATTCTGGGAATTTTCTCTTGTCATTTATAGGACAGTTAAGAATAGAAGTTTAAAAGTTCTTCAACTTTCTAGTAACACTGAAGTTTTATGTTTAATGAAACACAGTGGTGAATTTCATCTCCTAGATACTTGCTGTACTATAGGTAATTAAGGTAAATGATGTTACAAAGCATTTTCTTTCCCTCACAAATGTGTACTAATAGCAGTTTCTCATCATTGGATAAGCTATTTTCTGTTTTTATCGTATCTTATGAAATCTTTTTCCTGGCATTGAAGGTGTTATGTTAAATTAGTGAAGCAACATGTTAATGACCCAAGGATCTTTTAAATTTGTTTTGTCATATTTAGTTTCTAGCCTTTTTGCCAAAGATTGTATAAAATGCCTAAAAGCAGCACATTTTGAAGATTGATCTTTTACATGCCGGGTTTTTGGGTAATAATGATTTTTTAAAGTAATTAATTATCATATATCTTTTCAGTTTACAGAAAGTCCTTGGCCTGGATTCTTTGGAAGAAGTCTTAGATATTAAACTGGTCAACTCCAAGTTCATCATCCATAATGTATATAGTGTGAGCAAGCAGGGAGTTGTCATCCTTGATGACAAGTCAAGTAAGTGCATAAAAACCACTGTGGTCCCATTTGATCCACTATGCTGGCTGCACAGCTCCCTCAGCTTCTTTTTGACCATTCCTCAAACCCTCAATGAAGGTACCTCCTCAGTATGTATAGCCTTCTCTCACTTTCATGCCTTTTAAATGATTGTGTGCATAAAGGAGATGTCAAAGCCTCAGCACAGTCCATCCAGAGGCTAGTTCAATGTTAGTCACACTGGGCATTAAGTGGTTCTATATTATTCACAGAAAATCCCTGAAAAGTAGGTAAGTTTAAGACCTGAGTGCTTAAGTCAGTTAGAACTAGGTCTTGGAGATTAATTTTAGGCTTCAGGTGAGTTTGATTGATTTTAGGTTCTCCCCAGCCTTTTCATTATGGAGTCTCTGTGGTAGATTTTCCAGAATAGTCTTGGTTTATGTCGTTTTTTTTTGTTTTGTTTTTTTTAATTAATAAGGGTAGTTCTGTAAATGCTGAAGGTGCTTCAATTTTTTTTATACCTTTTATTCCAAGCCAGTTTGCAAATCAGGAAAAAAAGACATTAGGCAGCTGCCTATCCTCTTTTTTTGTTTGGAAAAATAAGGTCATGGTACCCATGGTGGGCCAGAATCCCCGAACTGATTTACTGATTTTAAAGCTTACTTCGCTTGGATCAGGGATGGACCAGAATTAGATGGGTTTTTTGAATAGTTCTTCCTTTACTTCCAACCCTTGGTCCTGGAAATAGCTGGAACTAGAATGACCTTTGGATGTGGGAAGATGGTATAGTACTTTTGGGTTTTTATAAATTATTATTAAATTTAGAGCTGGAGTCTCCTGGGCAACAAGATGGAACTCTACCAGAAGGAGCCTCAGCAGCTGTGAGAGGGGAAGAGGTTTTTCTAGGCCATGTTTCCTGACAGGAACAGAATGTGTCATTGAAACTTGAAACACTTCTTTCATATAGTCCCTGTATTGGGAATGAAGGACATTAAGGAAACAAACGAATTTGTGACCTTGTGAGTTGTCAGGTTAATATCAACATATAAAATTAACTTACATAGAATGATGGAGGTATTGCCTTTGAAATATATCTAAAATCCTTCCACATTCTTTGAGTGCAGCAAACATGAATACTTTTACCTACCAGTTAGATGACCAGTCATCTTTTGTCTTATCAAGTTCTTCAGAAAGAAGGGCCTCGGGTTCATTAGATCTAACACAGTTCAGCCAGTATCTTTGCAGTTTTTAGAAAGTGGAGAAGGGGAAGCATGAGTGATGGTCCATCTCATCAAAGGAGGAGAGAGACTCCAGAAAAAAGGCTCAGCTGGGACTTTTTGTAGCCGTGTTAACAATTATTATTTTAAGACTGTCCTAAAAGAGGTAGCCTATATTAGTATGTCAGTAGCACTTTCTTGCCCTGAAACATTTTGAAAATTGAAATGTGTAAAATGATGCTTATATTGGACATTGGACATACAGAATTCACCTTTTTTTTTTTTTTAAGCTGTTTGCTGAACTGAATTCACAAATACAATTGATAACTAATATTTTTGCTTTTTCTGTTTTTTCTTTTCCTTCTTTAATTCCTAGGATAACTGATCTGTTAGTTTGCTTCTTTGGAATAAACTGTCAGATGTATACTTTTCACCAAAGCTTCAAAAGGTGCATCTTATCCTTAGAGAAATTTGTAGGCATGATTTATAAAAGCATATTGGAACACTGCTGCAAAAGAAAAATTTCCATGTTTTTAAAACATTCGGCTATATTAATAGGTGATTTGTGGTTTGCGATTGGCAGATAGGTTTCATATTATTTGGGCAAGTTATATATTCTTAGGATACTATGTATGTATATAATTCTTTGAGTTATATGCAGTTGAGTAAAATACCTTCTTTTTATTTTCATTTCTCTGCAGAAGAACTTCCTCATTGGGTACTGTCAGCTATGAAGTGTCTGGCAAATTGTAAGTACTAATTATCCTCCAGTTTTATGAGATTAACAGAAATTAGTGCCCTGAATTAGAAAATATTTTTGCTCAATGGCCTGAACATTGATTTGACACCTGTGAGACTGGCAGTTAATTATTTTGGGACTTGTGTGCTTTTAGTGATGAATTTGTGACTCGGTGAAAGGGCTGAGTTATAGAACATTTTTAAAGGTATTTTGTGCTTCTTTTTTCTAGTGCATATAATCACACTACAGGTTTGCCCATACTACTACTTCTGACTGCTTCATCACAGTAAAGAAAAATTAGTAGTATTGAATATAATATTGTACAGATAGCTGCCTGTTGACTGTTTGCACATTTTTATTTCTAAAGCATGTATTTTATTCCTAAAACATATATCCCTAAATATGCCCTGTATTTACATCTCCATTTGCTCAGCAGCTCCTATCTACTATTGGCTTTTTATAGGGCACCAGTTGAAGTGGGAAAGAAATATTTTAGACTAGTCTGACTGATAAGCAGGCTGGTTTGGAAGGAGAAGAACTTGGCGTGCAGAGAAACAAGAAGGGATGTTTCAGTAATTGGATGTAAAACGAAGGGGCTTGGATCACAATGGTCCTTCTGAGGATTTTCATAGGCACCCACAGTCCATTTCACAGGCATGTGATATCCACGTCATCGGATGCTGTAGGCACTGTGAAAAATGTATTATAGTATCCCACTAACATTGCCATTTTTTTCTGGGGATTTTTTAGAAGGGTTAACCCAAAGAAGGGATTCTAATAGTTAATGGCTTAACCCAAACAAGTGATTTTAATGAGAAGAATTCTAGTTCTTTTGCTAATAGTGGTGACATTTGGTCTATGAGGCCTTTAAGCCTCACAGATGGCCTGAGAGAGGTACCTTTTGGGTAGAACTAGCATGTACAGAGACAGGTATAATAAAATTTTGAGTTAGTAGACTCTGAATGATTTATTTAATTGATGTTAGTTTTGTTTGATTATAGAATGAAATTAAGATAACCAGGCAGTTTACTATAGGTAATTCCAGTCATAATATGTGGACAATGATTATATACTATCATTCTGAATATGAATACCAGTTATTAGGTTGTATGAAGCCCAAGGTTCTCTGTGTTTAACTATTAAATTTTCATTGGTTTTGGTTAATATTTTGGGACGTCTGAGACGTAGAGTGGTTTTAGCTTGGGAGAGTGCTTTTTATTATTCCCACTCAACCATTTGTAAATTAAATTTAAATTATATCTTTGGACAGTGTTGGCAATGACGAGATAGAAGGTCTAAATGCAAAGTTAAATTACCCATTTCTAAATTCCTGGCAAACCAAACATTTGGTAATTGATGAACTGGGAAAGAATAGAAGAAGCCAGTATGACAAATCTAGGCTATAATATGTTGTATAATGTATATTAAGGTGGGATTATGATACAGATTTATCAGTGATCAAAACGTTGTGAAGAGTGTAACTTTTCCTGCAAGTAAGATGTATACATAAAGCCACAAAAACTTCTGCAGGAATATTATAATAATTGGAATTACTTATTAATGGAGAGGAAAGATGTAAAGAGCAACTTAATAATGTTCTCCGTGTGTGGTGGTGTTATATTATTAGGTGGAAATTCTTGAGAACAGGGACATGTCTCACATGTATCAAGTGCAGTGTTTTACAGATAGTTGGCATATCCATAAAAATGCTTATTTATGTTTCAAAGACAAAGTGACCAAAAGGCAAGAATATCCTTTTGAATAGTTTTGTGACATTATTAAATTTTCCAAATGCTCCTTGGCCCCTTGAGTTTACTTTGAGTCTATCAAAGTGATGACCTGTTACTTACCCTTCTTATCCTTATTGAGTCTAGATTCCCATTACAGTCATGTAATAGGGAACAGAAAGGATAGGCTGGCTGGTTTATGTGATATTTTGAAGGCTTCTTGTGTCCTTTTCTGTAAATTTCCTGCCTACCTCTTTCTCTCAGGCCCATTGGTAGACCATGTGCACATAGGCCTGCATACTTTCCTTGTCCAGCCTCATGGTTGGCCACAGGATGATGAACTGATACTAAGTATAAAACCAGGTTAACTGTGTCTTCTTTGTGCATGTACATTGCATTCAATAAAAAAAACAAAAAACAAAAAACAAAAACAGATACAGACAACTCTTTTCCAAGATCTGTCAGGAATAACATTTATAAAAGCTATTCTGAAGTTCAAGATGATTAAGAAACAGAAGATCTTAGAAATATGGCCTCCTCTCATGGGGCCTACTATGCATTTGCATTTGTATGGAAACTGTTTTTGTTTTGTTTTTGCATATTTTTAGCAAGAATGATGAAATGTTTGTTCAGGGATACAGCTGCTTACAATCAACCGCATACTTATCTTGGGAGGAAGTAATTCACGGCATTATGGATTACTGAGACATTAAACTAATTGTTTCAATCGATGAAGCTTGGAGTATTTCAAAGGAGGAAGCAGGCAAGAATGATGGTTATGTTGGCTGCTAGGTTAACATGGTACCACACAAGAGTCTCTCATAATTTTCATTATTTTAGTCAATCAAATTAAGTTATTTTATGACAAGTGTATACAGAATATTAAAAGGTGAGAGGGTTTTTAAGGAGACCAAGAAAAAGCCATTTTCACTTTGTCCCATTGGCCTTGGGATGTGAAGGCCCAGAATGTTTATCTGTTCTTTTTAGTTTGATCCTTTCTCTTTAGTTACAGTGGTGCTGGAGGAAGGCTTTCTTTTAGTTTTTACTGGCTTTATCTTTCACTCTCCTCTGAGGGTAGAGCTCTGTTTGGATCTAGTTGTTTAGTCTTGTATTCTGCTGGCCCAGAACTGGCCATTGCACTTGCACTGCTTCTCCCTTCCACGCTGTCAGAGCAATTGAGAAGACTGGCCAAACTCTCCCTCATGAGGCTACTTGCCATTTCCCCAAGGCATGGGCAGCTCTGGTTTGTCTCTCCACTTGGCAATGTCAATCTGTAGTCTGTGTGTGGATTCTTGGGGGCATTTACTGCTGTATCTGTAGAGGGCTAGGCATTTCTTCTTGTTCCTCTTTGGTCCCAGATACAACTGGATCTTTGCCTTGCTGTCTGCATGGGATATGGCTGGGACCACATTGTTCCAGGCTTCTCATTGGTACCCTAACTTTGGAATATGCTTTGCCTGATATCTTTTAAAGGTTGGTTGGGGATCACATAGAGTTTTACAATCAAAATGAATCACAGGACCCAGTGTAAAATCTTCTTTTTAGAATATCTTTATGAAAAAGAGTGTAAGTTTTTATTAGTCTGAAATAATTTAGTTAGAGGCAGACATCGATTAACTCAACTCTGATTCTAGGATTTCATAATACAGCAATGACAAAATACTAAAAAGCTTTGAAAATTGCTTTATAACTTGTCTATTACATATGTGAGATAATTATCACCTTGGTCAACTGTGTCAAGCCTAGGAAAACATCGAATATTTCAAACAAAATAATCATTGTCTACATTTAATAAAAATGCCTTTCAGAAGATGTAAAAGAAAGAGTGGGTTTCTCTTAAAATGCAAGTAAGCCATTGATTTTCCTCCTTGTTTTCTAATAGATTTCGATTTAGACATAAAGTATTCATGTAAGCAAATGTATAATGTCCTTTTAAATAACATCAATTTTCCCCATGAAAACCTTTGTGATCTTGAATATCTATACACACCATACATATGCACAGAGACTAATCCTCATAAGTGATCATCCCAGTAATGTTTCTTCTTTCTCTCTTTCTCTTTTTTTAACAGGGCCTAATTGTTCAGATTTGAAGCAGCCTATGTATTTAGGATTTGAAAAGGATGTCTTTAAAACTATAGCAGATTACTATGGTCACTTGAAAGAGCCTCTACTTACATTTCATCTTTTTGATGCCTTTGTCAGTGTATTAGGTAAGTTGGAATATAATGAACGTGTGTCTGTATTATTGATATGGAATCATTTCATTTTCCAGTGTCTTGAGATTTCCATTAGTCAAACCTCCATAGCGTTTCTAAAATAAAAATGGATGAGGTGCTTGCCTGGTTACAGTCCTGCTCTGTGAAGGAGGAAAAGAAAATGGTTAAGCTCTGTTAAGAAGCTGAAATCAAGGACCAATAGTTTTTACTTGATAAGAAAGAATAATATGCTATGTGTCACTTTTGTGCAAAACAGTACAACTTCTTTGGTAGAGAAGAATGTCAGTTTGATATTGACTGTTGGAGTAGATCTACTACTCTGGATGTGCCTTTATGAACAGTCATGTATGGGAGACAGATTTTCATTTAGAAATCTAATTTCTTTTCATAGAAGGAACAGGTTTCTGTAGGGCTATTTGTTATTTGTAACATGAAAAATAAATATAGTAACTTTATCATTTTCTGAAACTTGTTACTATTCTTCACATAGATCTGTATGCCAGAATTTATAGTGTCACAAAAGCAGGGTAGAGAGGAAAAAAAAATCAATGTTATTGCTGTAGGCCTTTGTGGTATTGTTCCTTTCTTCTTGCATATCAGATTTTCCTGTTGCTATTGTGATTGTTCAATAAATATTATTCTTTTATTGTTTGCTTTAATGACCGATCATTGTGTAGATATCATACTCTGTTATGTAAATTTATAGGAATTTGCATGCTCTTGTTCCTGAGTACTGGGGGGCTTAGCCCCCTGCCCTGCCCTGCCCTTTCTTCTGCTTTCCATCTTATTGGAAAGTATGGATGCTACCATAGAAAATACTCATAGTATGAGTAATTTACCTGATCTCATAGTACAGTACTTTAAATTTTAAGATTCTATAAGTTTTCTGATAAGAAGAAACAAAGTACAAAACTATAAATCATGCGCATAAGAGTGAGTTTGTTTTTAGAGGGATTAGTATTGGGAACAGATGAAAGGATTAAGCCTGTTACAGGTGTTTGAGACCACTGGGCTGTCTTGGTATTTTGTTTTCAACCAAAGAGGATCCAGTGCTTATGTCCTTTTGAACATCGTACCTAATGATGAATACTTGCTGTTGTTTAATATGCATTTGGACTCATTGAGTAGATTCTTTTAGCCACTCACTGCCATGTGCCACTGGTAAAATAAGAATTCTAAAGACTGGAATAAAAATTACTTAGGTTTTCTTTTCATTTTCCATTTTCATAATGTTATGTAGTAAAAATGATCTGGTTTGGAAACACAAGTACTTGGAACTTTTTTTGGAGAACAGATTCCAGTTTGAATCAGCTGTGTTTATGACATCACTGGTCTGTTCTACCACAATTGTTCATTTTGATCTCTGCTAGGAATTAAAGCTGATTATTTCCAAATTGATGTCAGAATCAGCCTCCTTCTAAAGTATCACTTATACAGGGGTTAGGGTGGAGAAGGATGGATAGATTGGAGAATTTTGGCAGTTAAGTATCAGGAAGAATAGACTAATGTGTGCAGATAGTCAAGATTTATTATCCTTCTCTGATCCAGTCCTTCTCAAGTGAACATGTTTGAGACACCTTGCATTGAAAACCATATATTTTAGATCCTTATGTAGTAAAAGGAGAAATATAAGGACGTATAGATTATCATAAATTTGATCATTTGATCAATGAAGATCATCTAGTATAGTAATCTTGTTAAGAGTCTGTGGGAAAAGGTGTTATATATAGATATGTGCAAAACAGATATATAGGTTGAATCTTGGTGTGGTTGACTCAATTCTTCAAACTTTTTGACTTACTTGGACTGCAGTAGGATGCTATTAGATTAGATAAGTAAGTAATAAAGTAGGTAATCAGCATACTTTGTGTAACAGCTAAAAATCCTATAGCATTTTCAGTGGAAATTGTTTTCAGTTTAATTAATGGGCTTTTTTGAGGCTGATTCCTTTGCTTCTAGCATGAAATAATGCTAGCTTGATGTAAAAGTTGTGACCTTGAGAGCTGTTAGTTATTGATAGATGAAAAAAAAAAACATCTAAGAGTTCTTAAAAAAAAAAAAAAAGAAAAAGTAAAAAGATTTTTTGGAGATATGAGAATTATTCTTTAATCACTAGAAAATGATTTAATTTGGGTCAGCAGTCTGACCAAACAACATAGCTGTATATAATAATAAATTTTCATTTCTAAAATGTCAGTTTGTTATTAAGATAGAATTTGGCTGACTCTTAAGTGGGGTGAATGAGATGGTATAGCATCCTTCACTCCATTCCATGTGTACCCTAAAATCCACTAAGCTGTGTAGCTTGCTGTAATTTGTCATATTGAGGAAAAATGGACACCCGTAGGAGGCACAAAAAGGCATAGCAGCAGGGGATGGTGTTTGGACAGTTGAGAGACTTGTGGGTTGTATAATGTTATAATCTTAGTTCCCAAACTGGTGATCTCTGGGCCAGATCTGAGTTATAAATACATCTGATTTGACCCTGTGTTTTGTTTTGTTTTGTTTTGTTTTGTTTTGTTAATGTGTATTTATTTTTGAGAGAGAGAGAGACAGAGACAGAGATGGAGACAGAGTATGGGCGGGGCGTGGGAGAGGGAGACACAGAATCAGAAGCAGGCTCCAGGCTCTGAGCCATCAGTGTGGTTGAACTCACGAACTGCGAGCTTGAGCTGAATCAGACGCTCAACCGACTAAGCCACCCTGGCACACCGACCCCTGTGTTTTAAAAAGAAAATGTAATTAATTGCCAAACTTTAAGAAACAGGAAGTCCAGGTAAGAATTTGTAAATTTGTGAAGAGAAAAAGTGGAAAATGTGGCTGCTCTGGGCTTGAATTTACATGGGCACCAACTGTTGCATCTGTGTGGCTAGTGCCGCCACTAGAAGGAGCAAGTGTTCCAGGGACACAAACTCCAATTTGCAGTGCTTCCCACTGCTTCTCAGACTCTCAAGCTAAGTTCACTTGACTCTTTGCTCATTTATCCCTTTTGTCTGCTCCTGCAGGCACTTGGGCTTTTGGCTCCTGGTTTATTTGCTCAGAGGCTGGAATACTGAGTAGCTCTTTCCTGCTCCCTACCTTCTAAAATGTCAAGTTTAGAAAATGCCATTGAAATTCACTAGATTGATTGTACACTGGATTATCAAACTAAATAGCTGAGATCTTCTATGTATTTTTTAAGCCAGAGACACCTATAAGGGTTAACTTTCCAATCTTTGATTCTTTTGTCTGATGACTTCTCAGATATCCTGTGGAGCTATATGCCATCATGGACTTATTACCTCTTGTTATGTTCTTCAGGTTATCTTAGGGTCTGTGTCCCATAGTTATTCTTAAGGGAAAACAATTCTTTTTTTCAGAGAGTGCCTAGTTGGTGTGCTTGACCAGACAGAGGGCTCTTGCCCATGTTAGTCCAAAGTTCTTGCTGGTGGTTCTCTTTGCTCTCAGAGCCCAGGGCTTATGGCTGGAGTTTTTGAAGATGTAGATGAGCCAAGGTAAGGATGTTGAATCACCTCCAAATAAAATGACTACTGTTAAGTCAATTGCTGAAATAAGGTGGGGTTAGCTGCTCCTTAAAGATAGCAATTTAGGGAAGTGCCTAGGTATTTCTTGGCTATAACAAAATATCTAAGCTGTTTGTAAATATACCAGTAATCACTAGGATAGCTGATAAAACTTCTGGGGGAAAAAACTTAAGACTTTTCTCATACCATTCATCAGGATAAATTCCAGCTGAATTAGAGAATTAAATGTAAAAAATGTACATCTAAAATATAGTTGATGTTGGGTGGGTGAAGGACTTTCTCAGCCTGAAAGCAAAAGAAGTCATAAAAGTGCTATAGCAGTTTGGGACTCTTCATGTAGGAAAGGGCATCATGCTGTGGTAGGTGAATCTGTGTCTACTTTTAAGCAATTCAAAGACGACTTGTTTGTGTTTCCTTAAAAGCCCCTAGAGAAATAGTCTCTCTTGATATGTCTTTCTTTAGGCAGGGAGTTCTGACCAATTGATGTGTAGTCTGAATTCTTTTACCTTAGTATAAACCTTATCCTTTTTATACCTCTTCTCTGTGAAAATGAAACTTTTTTTTTTTTTTTTTTCTTCATGTCTTGTAATTTATCTCTCTTGAGTCTCTCCTTCTCTGGCTGAACAGACTCGATCCCACTGGCCTTTTGGGGAATGCTGGGCCCTTTCAAAAGTCTTCATATTTCAATTTTTTTTTTTTTTAAGCTCCCATAAGGGATCGCTTATTGATAACACAGCATATATTAGTAGAAATGCCATTTCTACTTTACAGAAATAAAAATTTGTGTTTGTAATGATTTGAGAATGGAAATCTGATGTAACCACTGGAGAATGGGAAGGAGGGTGACAAAGGTAGTTGTCATACAAAGCACTGACAACTCTGAAGCCTGTCATGTGATCTTCATGGCTGAGGTGTCACCTAATCTCTAATCATAGAGAATATTATTTTAATTTTACTTATTTTTATCATAAGGAACACTTGGATTTTTTTGAGTATTCAATTATTTATTCACTCATCCTTCATCACTGGGGCTAAATAATGAAATGTTTCCCTGATTGAAAAAGTCTCAAAGATGAGTTATTTGGTGGATTATTATCTTTTCATTATTTTATTCTTTTTTTGTTTGTTCATTATTTTATTCTTATTTTACCAATGGAAACATCTCCAAACTCAAGAACTTGGTTTGTTCACTGAGGTGTACCCACTTAGATGACTCACTCTGCCTTTCTAGACCCTGGTTTTTTCATTGGTAAATGGCAATAATGGCTACTATACTTTTAGATATGAAAACATGAAATTTAAAGTAGTGGGTTACACTTATTTTCCTACTAAGTTTCATTTTTTTTTGTTTTGAAAAATACAAAAAAATGGCAAAATGTGTAAATTAAGATAGGATAATCATATGTTGCTAGCTAGCCATATCTTCTTTCAAATGATAGCAAGATTTTTTTAATGTGAAACTACTTGTGA